AGAGGAAAGGAGCCGCATGTGGCCTCTAAACAGCAGGCGGGATGACACCCCCCCCCTGGAGCTTTCAGAAAGACACTGTATTTTATTGCTATTTCTTTGGCACCCAACAACAGTGGAAATATAAAGACCCGTCCTGAAACTCCAGACTCAATACGAAGATCATTCCACCTGCTTACCCTTAAGAAGTGGTCAAGCTGGGTTCAAAATGATAAACTTGAAAGGCACTTTCATGTCTTTGTGGATCCAGCCACAGGATGTTCTTACATTTTGCCTTTTAGAGGGGGGGGGGGGACTTTAATAGTAAAGCAAGTACCTTCTCAGATGCTCCCATTTCTCAAAGTGTGTGGACACAGAGAGAAATGTTGCTCCGGTGCTGGGGAATGCAGGTCTTCTTCTTTCACCTCGACAAATAATCATACTGTCACTAAAGCTGCTCTTCTTGTACAAGAAATAAACTTTATAAAACCCATCAGTGTTTGATATAAGAATAAAGGGATTGGTTTTGGTTGCATTTGAAACAATGGAGTCTTCAAAACTTGACATTTTCTCTTAAAACAAGATGTACTAAAAAAAAAAAAAAACACTAAGACTATCCAATCCTACACACAGGGGCTTTTAGCAGATGATATACTGTAGGTTTATACCTGCTAATTTGACCTCCAAAGTGAGGAATTGTTGGGCTTTAGGCGTCCAGAAATAAGCTGCGCGAAGAGGTTATACAGTACATGCAGGAAATTATTAATTGTATTGCATCAACTGTGACCTCTACTAAGGGGCACGATTAGGCTATACAACAAGAGTCTGAAAACAAATGGACATTTCCAGGACTGTATCCATCACTGGCAGTGTTACTTTTCTTTTGCTGAAGCGGGACAGGGCATTCTAGACACCACAAGAGTAACTGTCCCCAGACTGCAGAGGCTTCAGAGGCTCCAGCACAGCTTTGGACCGAGTATATTATAGACAGGGCTGCACATAACTGGTGCGTAGGTGCGCATGCGCACCTCCGCCAAAAAAAGAGCACCGGGTCATTTGAAACAAAGCGCATTTGCGTACCAACATTGAGAGAGGGAGAGAGGGAGAGAGAGGAGGGAGAAGAGACAATAGAAAATAGAGGAGAGAGAGAGAGAGAGAGAGAGAGAGAGAGATATTTGCGAGTTGCATATGAACCATGATATGAACTCAGGGCCGGCCCGTAGCACTGGCTAGATGTTCGCCTAGGGCGCCAGATCTGGGGAGTCACTGCGCTGGCAGTTCTGGGAGGGAAAAAAACATTTTGACCGTTGGGGCTCATCCTAATTTTCGGCCTTGATGTAACAATATTCATAATTAAGTAAATGTAACACCCTTTTTACCCCGGTTACACTTTTCATTTGCCCTGTACGATGGGCGCTGTAAGTGATGAAAATGGGGGATGTTGGCTTATCTGGCGCCCGCAGCTCACAGCCAAAATGCGAGGGAGAGAGGGAGGGTGCACCGGTACCAGCGCTGTTGTTATTAGAATCTGGTGCCGTGCTAGCTGCTCTAACGGATATAAGAAGAAGATGTTTCTACAATAATGTGGAGGGAGAGTCCTCTCCAGTCAGACTGAGAGGCTGATACTACAGCTCAGTGAGGTAAGGACTCTTAGTCTAAGTTCAAACGGTTTGGTCACAATTTATGTAAACACATATTTCCAAGGCACTCCTTTATAATTATTGGGATAAACAGGTTTCAAATCATTCCAATGTATACTGACAGTAACCAAAAATATCCTTTAAAACAGAAGATAAAAAAAAATGCATAAATAAATAAATGTTAAGGTAAAATAAGATATGAATGAACAACACAAATAAAATAAGTTACATTCATTTGTTATTGGCTATAGGTTATTGGTTATGTTCACATACTTATTTGATTACATCCACTTGTCTAAGATGACAACAGAGACTTTCGACCCAAAACCAGCTGTTGACTTGTGGATGCAAGCATCTAATCACAGACTCAACCAGAGAGAAAGTAGTAGGCCTACATCATCAGCTACCATGTCTGACAGAGAGGAAGACAGTGAGGAGAACAGTCAGGAGGGTAGTGATGACAGCTTGTAGGATTACTGGTCGTGCTAATGTTGTCTTGTGTTCACCACTGCATGTGTGTTCTGTGTGCACCTCTGCATGTGTGTTCAGTGCCGTGTGTCTGGCAAATAAAGTCAAGACCCCCTCAAAAGTTACGGTTTATTTCATTTTAAGGATGAGCACCAAGCAACATCTCCAGGTGCTCCTTTGAGAACCAGGGCAAAAAAGTTATGCGCACCCCTGATTATAGAGCTCTATCTAGACAGAGTATTATTTGTATCTGAAATGGCAAATAGAGGTTTCATTTAGTGATACCACAGTGTTTGTAGTGTCAAAGTTCACCCAATTCGCAGGAAAAGAAAAGTTGCTGCAAGAATTACTCTAACAAAACTAGCTTTATTCAGCTAACGAGCATTTAAGGACTTCACAATGGTTCGGAAATAATCTTTTTTTAAATATTTGATAGTAAAATCCAATTTACGAAGAAAGATATCAGTTGCCAATTAGTGTTTTTTTACTTTAATACTTAATGCTAGTTAATGTCACATTCATCTGCTTTGCTAATGTAACATTTTTCAAAATGTGTAAGAATGCAAAGTTATGTGTGTGACTAAGAGAACAGAAAGAAAGTATAAATAACCTCAGTTACATAAAAGAAAACAGGCACCTTCAATTTGGTAGAGAATAACAAGTCGATTCTATCATTTTCTTTCCATTATCATCCAGGAAAGCAGGAAACTAGGAATGGTGCTCAGAGTTAATAGCTTAAAATGATGTTGCAACTGACAACAAGACAAGAAATCCAAGGGTAGGAAGGCAATCTGTTCATGTAACGGCCTGTTTCAAGGCTTTGGTTATCAGTGGCAAAAGCTACACATCTAGGAAGAAGTACACAGGTATTGACAAAAAATTCCTGCCTTGTGTGGCAAACCTGACCTTTTGAAAAAAACAGAAAGGATTGATTCAGAGTGTAGGTGCAACAGACCATGTCCTGATGTCAGGGTTGTTGGCATTCGCCTCAGCAATAAGTCTGGGTTTCACACTAATGGAAAAATATTGAAAAAGTTAACTTTTGTGTTTGCTGTTGTAATGTTATGTCACTTGCAACAATCAACAACATTCTTTATTTGATTACATTGAAATGAGCTTGATCTTCCTACGCACGAAAATGATATCCATACAATCCAGGGCCGGTCTTTAGGCGACATAGGCGGTCTTCTAGGGCGCAAGATCTGGGGGGGGGGGGGGGGGGGCTGCGTTGGTAGTTGCGAAAAAACCAAATGTTCAGCCATGATGTAACAGCATTCACAATTAAGTCAAGGTAACACCCTTTTCACCCCGGTTACACTTTTCATTTGCCCTGTACGATGGGCGCTGTAAGTGATGAAAGTGGGGGATGTTGACTTATCAGGCGCCCGCAGCTCACAGCCAAAGTGCGAGCGAGAGAGAGAGGATTGTTGTTGGAATGAGGCTGATCACTACAGCTCAGTGAGGTAAAGGACTCTGAGGGTTTAGATAGTTCACTTTAGTCCAAGTTATCTCAGTGTGTCTCAAACGTTTCGGTCACAATTTATGTAAACAGATATTTCCAAGGCACACCTTTATAATTATTAGGATAAATAAAAATAGGTTTGAAATCATTCCAATGTATACTATAGGACAGGAAACCAAAAATATCTTTTAAAACTGGATATAAAAAAAAAAAAAATCATCACCAAATTATAATCTCGCCTAGGGCACCAAAATGTCTAGGACCGGCCCTGATACAATCGCATGACTAAATCATAAAGCTAACAAGGAAAAAGTACACCACCTCAAAGTAGACGAAAACTTGAAGCAAAACAGAAGTAAAGAAGTGATCTACTTCCCTGCGCTTGTTCTAGTTGTGGTTAAGTAATATTTAATCCCCAAGCGTGGGTTTCAGAGAGTTTGAGTGCTAAAAGAAAGAGGGACAGAAATTGAGATGAGCAGCAACAAAAAACGGATGTTGCCCGGGGGAGTGAAATTGTAGGAAAAAAATGCAGCTGGAAATGGGGATTCAAATACAAAGATGATAATCAGCTTGAACCAAGAAGTAAGACTTTGTTAAAGAAAGTTTGACAAAATAATCTCATATTTCACTTGTATAGCAAAATGTATTAGATTAAAGATCTTCAATACATATCACTTCATTAGACCTAAATCTTGACTGCATGCTGTAAAACTGTGGTAATGGTGATGATAATGGTACAGGTATTGACTATATATATTCTGTGTGGATACCACATAACTCATTCAAACCATATACAAATATGAGGTAATACATCAAATGCACTGTTATTTTACTATTTGGGGTTATCTGCTATTAAATGAATAGCCTCTTGATCAAAGGTACTTCCCCTTTCAGTGGATGTGTGTAGCTCCAACCCACTGCTCCACCACACTACAGTATGGGATCCAAACAGAAAATTCACTGATAAAATAACCTATCATGTCTCATGGTTAAACCTGTCCAGTGAGCTCCAATTATCCAATTCAGTCCTGGAAATGTAGATCAGCTTTCTGTGAAAGAAGCTCGATACAGCCAAGGCCAACCCTTTGCATACTGTACATGTATTTATAAGGCTACAGGCCATTTGGCAACACATTGACATTTCAATGAAAATTGAGTGATTCCTGATCAGGTAAGTAAAGTTGCAATTGCCAGCATATTTAGATTTTGTATGTGTTTTTGTCATCGTGTGTACCCCCACTCTTCTTTTGCAAAGCACTGCAGAGCGGTTTTAAAATTCAGAGCAAGTATTGGGAGACACTTGCTCTTCGCTGGACGTTCAAGAGTAGCACAAGTAGGAAGACAGAGGAAAAAACACAGCTTACATTCACTCACTGTTGCTAGTAGGTGGCTAAAATTCCGAGTACCTTTTACGTCAGTAGGTGAAACATATATATTTGTTTAATATAACTTACCACCCCAGTGTCCAGCTGCTCGTTAGTCAGAGAAGGAGCCGCTCCAGTCAGAGGTAAAAACCACAAAATCGGCACCAACAGCAGCATCTCCGGAGAAATATTCCTCATCCACTTGTGAAGCACCAGAGAAACCATGCTGCCCTATAAGTATGACAGGCTGCTCCTGCAGGGCTCAGACACCGACCCCGACAGCTGCATCCACCGGATAAATCTCACGCCGACAGTCCGGTAAAATCTTTCCGAATAAGTCTACCTCACGGTTGAGCGCAAACACATGAAACACATTAAAACCGGTGCGGGAGAAAACACTTGCAAACATGAGAGCAGTTGAATGCCCACAACTTGCAGTGATAAGTAATCTAAGTGGTCATGTTCGGAGACAAACTGCGAGTTCTTGTTTTATTTAAAGTCCAACTGAGGTGAAATCCCTGGAGCAAGCAGCGCAAGCACCCCTCTCCGTCGTAGCGTCTCGAGCGCTGGAACATGAAAGCAGCTGCGCGCGGTTGTGGCTCGGGAGTCCGGAGCATCAGAGAGCAACCTCAAGTCAGCCAAAATACCCTACTACACTTCCGGAAACCACTCCCAAAATAAAATCCTCGCCGCTGGACTTGAGAAATTAAAAGTAGCCTGCTGTTAAAATTGTGTATGCTTACTTTATCAGATGTATAGCAAATGTGCTGATTGCAATATAATGGCTTGTTTTCTTATTCATATCACGTTACAATTAAATTGTTATATCTTAAACATAAAAAACAATATCCCTCTTGGGCTGTCATAACTTATGATTTATTTAAGTATCTGTTCCACTACATTATTAAATTGCACATTTTAATTTGATAAACATGGATTTTTAAATGGTCCATTAAATCAATTTAAGTGATAAAATAATCAGGTATTGAATTTAAATATGATTTTTGGTAGCTGTTGTAGATATGGCCATTAACATGCTCATCAATATAAAACAATGTTATTTCCTTCCTTGATAATGCCAACAAAAATATTTATGTTGAAAAATATTGTACAAAGATCACTGAACAGCTTTTGTTCATTCATTTGTGAAGTTATTTGTCTTTCTCCTATACAAAATAATAAATATGTTTCCATTTCAGATCCGGCCTGCACGTTTTAACTCTTGCTTTTATTTTGAAGTTCGATTTTCAAACTTCCAGGAGGCTTCTTTTGAGATATTTTTCTGACTTTATATAAACAGCTGTGAGTGAGTTTGAATTTGGCTCAAGGTGCATTTAATTTCATCTCTTTGGACTTTAATGATAAACGATAAACCAGTTGATGCCATACAACGATAATTAAAGCTTGGCCATGTTGTAGAAGCAATGTTATGTAACATGTTGCTGGAAAATAGATACATCATAATATAACGATTACAAACTGATGCTACCACTGTACTATTGAATGATTAACATCATAATTAACATTAACAAGCATTTGCTAAGTAGTTTTGTTTGGTTCTCTGGGCAACACTGACTGACAACAAGGATGACACCCAATGTTAAGTACACATCATAAAATCAATTTCAATTAAATGAAATCAAAGGAAGCCTGCTGTCTATAAAGTCTAAAGTTGAGAGTACCTAAAGCAGATACTTTTATTTTTGAAACATTATACATTGTGGTTGCTTAATGACAAGCAAGGTCCTTCAATAAAGAAACTAAGTTCAAGCCCCCAATATGGCAATTATCCAACCTTCTGAAATGTCCTCAAGCTAAACTCGGAAACCCTTGTTAAATCGAGCGGCGCTGACCTGAAGATGCACTCAGACCGCCCTGTAGAGGGTGCACATAAAGAGAACATTTTACAGTAGGAATTTTAAACAGTAGAACATTATTGTTAACTCTGTAGCGAATCACTGTAAACTGCCTCCGTAGCATCAAGGTGAATTATCCATTTACATTTTGAATCATAATGCAGATGCACACACACGCTTTGGTGCCCACCCACCTGCAACGCACCAGTATGCATGCATCTTAACTATTCCATGTCTCCTTTGACTGACAGTCTCCTTAACCTCAGTGCACTGTCACTAATGATTCACACAGCTCGCTTCATGACTCAACTGCAGATAAACGCTTACTGCTGGAACCATTGAATTTCCATTTCAAATCGTTTTTCATGTAATATTTCATGGTCATGCTTATTTTCCATCGTCTATCTAGACAACTGGTGCTACATGATGTGTCTGTTGTGTGCCATTAAACTCCAGGAATTCATGAAACTGATTAAATGACAGCCAATTAAATCCATATATCAGTAGAAGCTCCTTTCTTGAAGTGAAGAAAAGTGCACGTGTGAAATGCAAGAATGTTGTAAACCTCCTCATTACACTTCTGTGTTCACCAGATCTTCAAAAGCATAACGGAAAAGCGCAACATTTATTTCACCAAGGAGACGCTGGCATAGGGGTAACACGTCAATTATACAATTATATATTCTCAGACTGCAAGGAATCTGGGTGTGACCCTAGATAACAACCTGTCCTTCACTGCAAACATCGCTGCTACAACCCGTTGCTGCAGATACACGCTTTACAACATCAGGAGGATGCGTCCCCAGCTGACTCAGAAAGCGACTCAGGTTCTGGTCCAGGCTCTCGTCCTCTCACGCCTAGACTACTGCAACTCCCTCCTGGCTGGTCTACCTGCATGTGCCATCCGACCTCTGCAGCTCATCCAGAATGCAGCGGCTCGTCTGGTCTTCAACCTTCCTAAATTCTCCCACACCACTCCGCTCCTCCGCTCCCTTCACTGGCTTCCGGTAACTGCTAGAATCCACTTCAAGACACTGGTACTTGCTTACCATGCTGCGAATGGATCTGGCCCTTCCTACATCCAGGACATGGTTAAACCGTACACCCCAGCGCGTGCACTACGCTCTGCATCAGCCAAACGACTCGTTGCGCCCTCGCTGCGAGGGGGACCCAAGTTCCCATCGGCGAAAACACGTGGGTTTGCTGTCCTGGCTCCAAGATGGTGGAATGAGCTCCCCATTGACATCAGGACGGCAGATAGCTTGCACATCTTCCGGCGCAAACTGAAAACTCATCTCTTTCGACTCCACTTCGAGCGTTAGAACTATTAACGAAGCACTTTTATACTAATAAAGGACTGGCTTACCTAAAGCCAGTTGAGTAGCACTTGAAATGTTTGGCTCTTTGAAACCTGATGTACTTATATGATTCTGTTTTCTTCAAGGTTGTGTCTTCCTGGTCGAATGTACTTATTGTAAGTCGCTTTGGATAAAAGCGTCAGCTAAATGCAATGTAATGTGATGTAATGTAATATATTATATGTTATCATTATTAACATTCTCAGGCTAATTTCACAAAAGACCATGCAAGCATATATTCTTCATTGGCTGCTACAATTCCTTATTCAGATCAATTACAGAAATCATTCATCAATGGCGTTCAGGAGAAAAGAAAAATATGTTTTCTATTCAGCAGTATTAAGTTTGGCTGTCTTAGTGCTGAAGGCTTAAAACGTCTTACTGCCGCCAGTCCAAGTTAGACTTGTTGTATAAAGTCACAACATTATGATAATCAGCATCCGAATAATGTGTTCCACATTAATGTATGTCAAAATAAAGCTTTTTCAGTTTTACATAATCAGAACGTCAAAACATCCATTTGCTCATCAGTCTGCTTTGCACGTTTTAGTTACAAGTGTTGCCACATCTTAAGAGTCATTTTCAAAACAATACAGACAGTAAGAGTTTCCTCCTGCTGGGTCATGCCAGGTCTTCGGCTGAAATGAATCCACCTCCGACGTTGTTAACTTGTAACGCACACATGGCCCAATATATGGAAAACAGTTGCATTAGTCTATCTATCCACCATTTTAAGCAGTGATGGATCTAGTGTTGGCTTCTATTCAAACACACATTTATTATATGTTTTGTAGCATTTAATGCCAAGTTGGCTGCAATTCTCATTGGTAGCCACGTTTAAATTCCTGATGATAAATCATTTTTAAATATCTTTCGATATTGTTGAATAATGTCATGTAGTATCATGATGTCAATGTTTTTGTCTCTCAGTGTGATTATGAACACAATGTTTGTAATTGTTAATAACATAATTCATACTTAATGTATTTAATATTCACAGTGTCAGCTTTACTTAATAGGCTCTCCCATTAGTCAAGTTAACATTGAGGTGTTAAAAACCAACACGGCATTAATTAATCTTATTGCATTATCTATTTAGTGTGCGTTCAACTTTAATTTTGATGAAGTCTTTATTTAATTATTTTAGTTATATATGCTGTGTAATCTGAGAAATGTGACATTAATTAATTTAGAATTAATATGCTGTGTTCTATGCTTGTTTCTTTTCATTAACTTTTTCCTGCAATTAATCTTTCATATCATATAATAATCATCGAATTTACAATCTTAGATTAAGCTTTAAGATATGCAGGCTGGTCCAAATATTAGAGGCTCTATCTTTAAAAACATTCTTTTGAGAAACAGTATTGGCAGAGACTACATGTTTTCATGCTAATAAATAAAGCAGTTTGAGAGACACAAATCCAGTTCCCCAAGCTCAAGGTTTCAAAACTGTAGTCAACAAACCAATACTGTATGTGACGTCACAGTGACTGCTGCCACTTCCTACAACAAGTCTATGACTCATATCTTCATCAAATATACAGGGAAAATACTAAAACTCCATCTTACAGTGACTGCCATGAGCTCTGATTCACATCTTAATGGGTTGACATACCATTTTATTTTCACAGCTTAGAACCTATGCTTAGAACACATTTGTCTGAAGTCTCAAGTAACAAGCAAGTAAACATACTACTCAGAATGCAGCACAGTATGGTGAACATACTGTACATACAGACTGGTAAAGTTCCTCGAGTATGTTTTGAAAAATTGTTCTTTCCGAGCCACATCATTCACCAAACTTGACGCTGCCCAATTGACTAAGCTTGACCCAGATCCCCTGACATAAAAGACCATGCCCGTCAAATTAAAGTGCCTTGAGGTTCAAAGTGAATACAAAACAGTTGTTTTGTTTGTTTATTTATGCGGATGGGAGACAGGATTTATTAGAGGCTTCTTCCACACTGATCCTCATAGACCAAGTCAACTCTTTTTCAAAGGACTGCTTTTTTGTCACATATCTGAGCAAACCCTCCTGCTCCTTTCACACGCACTCTGGTGCAGCAGGAAAAGAGTCTTCTTGAGTTGTTCAAAATTCAGTTTTCTCCTGTACTCTACAGAAGCACAACAGGGTATAATAAATAAATAAATCATCCATCTATCCATCCCAGCATGAACTGAGAAGAGAAACATCCCGGAGAGGTCATAGTCCATCGAAGGTCAAAGAAATTCAGTTTTGATAAAGGCAAATCCAGCATCCGTCACCCTGAGGAATTTTAAATGTAAAAAGCTTTATTTTGTCTTCAACTTTGCAAAGCTTTTCTAGAGAAAATTATTGTTGTTATCTTGTGTTAACGTGCTTATTACTCAATG